TGGGAGACCTCCCTGCACCAAACCCATACTGTCACAGAAGGAAAAGCTGAGGATTTGAAATCCCTGCTGCTTTCTCTCCTCTTGGTATGGCTTTTGATTGGCCAGCACTGCCATGGTGCTGACCAATCAGAAGCTGTCTAGTCGTACTGCCATCCCTGTGAGGAGAGAAAGCCATGGGGATTTCAAATCCCCAGACCTGTGAAACCTCCCTGCAAGGTCCCATGCTGTCACAGAAGGAAAAGCTGAAGATTTTAAATCCCCCTTTTTTCTCTCCTCTCAGTCCAGAGATGACAGTACAGGCCAGATGGCTTTTGATTGGTCAGCACTGCCACTGTGCTGACCAATCAGTAGCACTCTAGCCCGTAGTGTCATTCCTTCAAGGAGTGGAGAGAAAGCCACTTCATGGGTCTGGGGATTTCAACGCCCCATGGCTTTTTCTCCTCTCCTTGCAGGGATGACAGTATGGGCTAGATGGCTTCTGATTGGTCAGCACAGTGGCGGTACTTACAAATCAAAAGCCATCTAGCTCATACTGTCATCCCTGGAAAGCAGCAAGGATTTAAAATCCCCAGCTTTACCTTCTGTGACAGCATGGGATCAGTCCAGGAAGGCTTCCCGCACCGCTCCTGTGAGTACTCCTGTTCAAATCACATGCTATTCTTTGCGGTGCAAGTTTCGTCCATACATTTTGTATTTGTGCAAATATCAGTTTCAGGAATTGGGAGCATTTTCATGAGTACGAGTACTATGAGTACGAGAAAATATCTGATATCGGTGAATCACATGAAAATCTTTGTGGTGTAATTTGCAGTCATACATTTTGTATTGACACAAATTGCACAGCAAAGTATCAGTACTCGTACTTGCCAATCAAAAAACGGTATTGACGCATCCCTAGCGGGTACTATGTGCAACGTTGCACTTCTGAACTGACTAGCATACCTGTAGTCAACATGGAAAATCATATATTCATTGCCACATTTTATTATGTCTATCCTACTGATTTCAACAATCTTGAAGTTTGTAAATGTACTTTATGATGCTCCCTACACATTTATCTTGAATTCTGTGACACGTAATCACTGTCCTGTGAGTAGGCACTGCTGTGAGACACATTTCACAGAGCTTGCCTTCTGAACTACAGAGGTGCTGAGACGAGGAGTTTCAGGGGGAGGAGTCAGTGCAGGAATCACTGCTTGCAGGTAGCATGGTACCATGGGATATGTAGTCCTTAGACACGGAAAGTAAGCATCAGAAGAGAAGCTGCAAACCATGCAGGGTATCCAGGAAGTTGTTGAAAGGGATGACCAACATACAGGCAGAAGTCACAACATGAAAAGAGATTTTAAAGTAAGCTTATATTGGATTTCCCAATTTAGCTATTGTTATTACAATACTGATGATATAAAATGAAAGTGTATGCTGTGACTATAGAACTATTATGCCTCACATACACTTACGTTGATAACTGATCCTTAAAAAGATCTGGACTTCTGAATAATTTACAGTGATACAACAGGTTTACTTATTGTAGAATAGGCATTTTCATGAAAAGTGAATTATTGACTAAAGGCTAGAAGGGACATAGTAGCAATCTTGAAAAAAGAGTACGGTAGATTTGTTGGTAACATACATTTTTGTTTCAGCTATTAAAGAGATGTTACTGCTGTTCATAAATGAACAATGATAATCTGCTTAAAAACCCACTATTCTAGATGCTAATCAAGATTTTAAACCAAGATTCTGTAAAGCAGACCGTTTTACGATCAGTTGTTTTCTAAGGATTGACCCAGCTTAACCTCAGTGGTACAAGTAAGGAGACTGGGGCGTTGATTCTTCCTGTGGGATTGAGAGCCAAGCCACAATTAACCTGAATTGACAGCGCAGGACAGAGATAAAGATAAAACAGTCTCCGATGTATGCACATCCAAATAATGAAAAGTAAACCATTAAAGCATGCATAAATACCTATTATATTATTATACAGGATTTATATAGCTCCAACAGTCTGCACATTGCCTAACATTATAAAGGGAGACAGTACAGTTACAATACAGTTTAATACAAGATGGTTAGTGGGGCCTTGCTCCTGAGAGCTTACAATCTAATAATAAATACTTAAAAGTTACATCAAATATGTCTACAACAAAAGCACAGATATTAAAAAATACATTTAATATATATACAGTATCTCACAGAAGTGAGTACACCCCTCACATTTTTGTAAATATTTTATTCTATCTTTTCATGTGACAACACTGAAGAAATGACACTTTGTTACAATGTAAAGTAGTGAGTGTACAGCTTGTATAACAGTGTAAATTTGCTGTCCCCTCAAAATAACTCAACACACAGCCATTAATGTGTAAACTGCTGGCAACAAAAGTGAGTACACCCCTAAGTGAAATGTCCAGATTGGGCCCAATTAGCCATTTTCCCTCCCCCGTGTCATGTGACTCGTTAGTGTTACAAGGTCTCAGGTGTGAATGGGGAGCAGGTGTGTTAAATTTGGCGTTACCGCTCTCACTCTCTGAGTGCACGTGCTCTGCATCATATACAGAGGTTGTCTTTGGGAAATAGACATACGAGTGCTGCCAGCATTACTGCAGAGGTTGAAGGGGTGGGGGGGTCAGCCTGTCAGTGCTCAGACCATACGCCACACACTGCATCAAATTGGTCTGTCCCAGAAGGAAGCCTTTCTGTAGATGATGCACAAGAAAGCCCGCAAACAGTTTGCTGAAGCAAGCAGACTAAGGACATGGATTACTGGAACCATGTCCTGTGGTCTGATGAGACCAAGATAAACTGATTTGGTTCAGATGGTGTCAAGCGTGTGTGGCAGCAACCAGGTGAGGAGTACAAAGACAAGTGTGTCTTGCCTACAGTCAAGCATGGTGGTGGGAGTATCATAGTCTGGGGCTCCATGAGTGCTGCCGGCACTGGGGAGCTACAGTTCATTGATGGAACCATGAATGCCAACATGTACTGTGACATGCTGAAGCAGAACATGATCCCCTCCCCTCGGAGACTGGGCTGCAGGGCAGTATTCCAACATGATAACGACCCCAAACACACCTCCAAGACAACCACTGCCTTGCTAAAGAAGATGAGAGGTAAAGGTGATGGATTGTTCAAGCATGTCTCTAGACCTAAACCCTTATTGAGCATCTGTGGGGCATCCTCAAACAAAAGGTGGAGGAGCGCAAGGTCTCTAACATCCACCAGCTCTGTGATGTTGTCATAGAGGAGTGGAATAGAAATCCAGTGGCAACCTGTGAAGCTCTGGTGAACTCCATACCCAAGAGGGTTAAGGCAGTGCTGGAAAATAATGGTGGCCACCCAAAATATTGGCACTTTGGGCCCAATTTGGACATTTCCACTTAGGGGTGTACTCACTTTTGTTGCAAGAGGTTTAGACATTAATGGCTGTGTGCTGAGTTATTTTGAGGGGACAGCAAATTTACACTGTTATACTAGCTGTACACTCACTACATTACCTTGTAACAAAGTGTCATTTCTGCAGTGTTGTCACATGAAAAGATATAATAAAATATCAGCTATTCACTTAGCCACAGGACCATTGGTTGCCTTCAGCCAATATCCACCAGGCTCTACCTAGTGAGGGAGATGTATACTCACACCATAGGAGAACTGGACTCTTTCCCACCAACTTCCTCCTGGTTCTGTCCCATGAGCTTCTTAGGACCCAACTTGTACCCTGCACTTGTACTTGCGAATAGGCCCCCCAGCTAATCCTAGTTGGGACTCTGATGTCTTCACACCAGTGTCAACTTAACCCCGGGACTGGAGCTTGTGAATAGGTCCTCCTGCTAAGCTTAGTCTGGACCTCGATGTCTGCACACAGGCTTCTCTAACACTCCTGCCCAAGGGGCAGAGCCCTTGCACAGGGGTCTCCTCCTGCATGGCTCAACCAAGGAACACTGCACCTGCTGGTCAAGCCTCAGACTATTTATGGGCTCGCTGCCCACTATCTGGGAACACTTTCCCAGGGATTGACTGGAGTGCCATAAATATTTAGGCTGCCCATTCTGTCCTTCCTCTCACTATTTTTATAAGAAATCTGATTATCCAGAATGGACAAGAATGGAATGGAATCCCTGACGTAATAGACATGTTTCATTACAATATGTACGATTTTCCAAAAATTGCATTCACAGTTAGAATTTTGTTTGTTTTCAAAAACTTTTCCATCCTGCTCCTTTGAATTTACTTGTCATTATGGTCAAAATGAACATACCTGATACACTTTAACAATTCACATCAGAATCCCACCTGCACCACTTGAACAAAAACCGCATCAAAATTGCACCACATATACACTATATTGCCACAAGTACTGGGACACTGCATTTAAATGCACATAAACTTTAATGACATTCCAATCTTAGTCCATAGGGTTCAATATTGAGTTGGCCCACCCTTTGCAGCTATAACAGCTTCAACTCTTCTGGGAAGGCTGTCCACAAGGTTTAGGAGTGTGTCTATGGGAATGTTTGACCATTCTTTCAGAAGCACATTTGTGAGGTCAGGCATGATGTGATGTCAGACAAGAAGGTCTGGCTCACAGTCTCCACTTTAATTCATCTGAAAGGTGTTCTGTCATTTTGAGGTCAGGACTCTGCACAGGCCAGTCAAGTTTCTCCACTCCAAACTCGCTCGTCCATTACTTTATGGACCTTGCTTTGTGCACTTGTGTGCAGTCATGTTGGAAGAGGCCATCCCCAAACTGTTTCCACAAAATTGGGTCCATGAAATTGTCCAAAATGCCTTAAGAGTTCCCTTCACTGGAACTAAAGGGCCAATCCCAACCCCTGAAAAACAACCCCACACCATAATCTCCCCTCCACCAAACTTTACACTTGGCACAATGCAGTCAGGCAAGTACCGTTTTCCTGGCAAATGCCAAACCCAGACACATCCATCAGATTGCCAGACAGAGAAGCACGATTCACCACTCCAGAGAACACACCTCCACTGCTCTAGAGTCCAGTGGTGTGTTCTTTACACAACTGTATCCAACGCTTTGCATTGCACTTGGAGATGTATGGCTTAGGTGTAGCTACTCGACCATGGAAACCCATTCCATGAAGCTCTCTATGCACTGTTGTGCTAATCTGAAGGCCACATGAAGTTTGGAGGTCTTTAGCTATTGACTCTGCAGACAGTTGGTGACTTATGTGCACTATGCGCTTCAGCATACGCTGACCCCGCTCTGTCATTTTACATGGCCTACTGTTCTGTCTCTCCAATCTAAGCATTGATAGTGTGATCTCTGTAACTTACAATTCTGATGAGATAGCGATAACTTCAACCTCAGTTGGATATCACAGTCAGTGACTCAACTGATAAGACATCTTGTAGATCTTGTGAAGTTTATTCCATAAACTGAGAGAAACTTACAACAATGAACATTCGATAGGTCAAAAGATCATAATATGTCCTGCCCCATGACATGAGGCTAGAGCTGCAATGCATTTCTGGGAAAGGGGGAGGGCTATCTATACAGCATTAACTAAACCAAAGGAAAGGGAGGAGCAGAAACAAAATATAGAAACACTTAAAGGCATATTACAGTCAATATGACAGTCATGTGAAATATGACACCTACCACTTCATGACTGAGTTGCTGTTGTTCCCAGTTGTTTTCATTTTGTTATAATACCACTAACATTGTACCATGGAATATTTAGTAGCAAGGAAATTTCACGGATGGACTTATTGCACAGGTGGCAACCTATCACAGTACCACACTTGAATTCACTGAGCTCCTGAGAGTGACTTATTCTTTCACAAATGTTTGTAGATGCAGTCTGCATGCCTAGGTGCTTGACTGTATATACCTGTGACCATGGAGGTGATTGGAACACCTGAATCCAATGATTTGGATGGGGTGTACCAATACTTTTGGCAATATAATGTATGTCAACCCAGGCAAAAGGGATTTTGCAAACAGCAAGTAGGGTGAAAACACTGGTTAGAACGACTGCCTTGCAACTGTCAGTTCCTACCAAGAACACTGCGTACATGCAACCTGTATGTTTTCCATGTGTCTGCGTGGGATTTTACTGGTTTGAATCAAACAGCAGGGTGGTGCTATTATGTTTAGGGAATTTTAAAAAAAACATAGTTTGGTATGCAGAGACAGAAGAAGGTTCTCTGAGATGCACCAGTAGTAAGCATGGTGGATGTTTAAGGAATGTCTGGTATTCACTGGGGAACCCCTGGAGGAGATATAGACTGTGCTGCTTTTCACAGTCAGAATGTACACTTGAGTTGGCTACAAATGGGACATATAACAAACAAACCAATAAAACCAATAGAGAGTATAGAAACATCAGGCTGAAGTGTAATCTTTAGACAAACAAGTGATGACAGGTGACAGATGGACAACAGAGAGGAGATCAGGACAAGCTTGTTACCAGGGTAGCGAAGAGGATATACTCGGGCCTGGATGCAGCTCATGTCCTGATACACTGGAGAAGAGACAAAATTTCTTACATCCAGCCTTGGGTGACATCTCTGGATACACAGGACAGTAAACAGGATCACAGATTTCCCCAATCAGACAATGCAACTTAACTACTACAGAAATAAGAAGCTGACATGACTTCCACCCATTCTATACTCAATCCAAAACATAAAGAGGTTTGGCTGGAGTGCAGCTTTAATAATTATTTTTATTATAATACAGGATTTATATAGCGCACCAACAGTTTGCGCAGCACTTTACAATATAAAGGGGGACAATACAATTACAATACAGTTCTATACAGAAGGAAAAGGAGGGCTCTGCTCATGGAGCTTACAATCTAATAGAAGTGGTAGGTGGCACAAAAGATGACAGCTGCAGGGGATGATTTGATGGAGGTGACTCAAGTACAGTTCTTAGATGGAAGTGGGGTAGGCTTTCCTGAATAAGTGAGTTTTCAAAGACTGCCTAAAGGCAGACAGGGTGGGGGCTGACTGGACATACTGGGGTAGGGAGTTTCAGAGAATCGAAGAGCAGAGGCGGCTCTAAAATTAGGCAAATTAGGCAGTCGCCTAAGGCCTCACACTTACAGGGGCCTCTTGGCTACCTAATTTGCCTAATTACATTTTTTAGACTGACATGGACTCTGGAGAGCTGCGACAGAGTAAGTGGAGTGGTGGCTGCTGTGCTAACACTGTGCCACCGCTTAAGTCGGCAATAGCTAGGTTCCGGGCTCCAGTTGTCTCAACAGCTTCAATACTTCTGGAGCAGCGGCTCAGTTGCACTGCACTCACTCACATCAACCGCACTCTGCCCCTCTCCCTGTAAACCGGAGGTGTCGTTCCTTGTTGGTGGCAGTCATACTTGGGACCCAGGAGGCAGGAGCAGCCTTAGTGGAAGACTGACGTTGTAGCCACTAGTGCTAGGCCTCAGACAGTCACTGACTTGCTGCACTGTGGAAACAGCAGAGCCAGCCCAGAGACATTGTATAGACCAGCATTGCCTTGGAATAGGTAATTATGGATTAGCATTTAGGCAATGATGCAGGACAGAGGGCCTTATCTATTAATGCTGCTTGGATGTGGGTCTCTCTCTGTGACTGTCTCTTAGCTGGACTGGGCTATCCTTTAGCTGGTTTGGACTGTCTCTAAACTGGATTGGACTGTCTCTTAGCTGGATTGGGCTATCTCTTAGTTGGTTTGGACCATCTCTTAGCTGGATTCGGCTCTCTCTTAGCTGGTTTGAACTGTCTCTTAGCTGGTTTGGGCTGTTCCTTAGGTGGATTGGGCTCAGGGTTGCCAACCATCCTTAAATTTACAGACAATCCGTGAATTTTAACCATTTATGGACTGTCTGTAAATGTCCATTTATGGACGGCGGCTGCTCGTGAAAAAATGGCCTTCAGACAATTTTCCCACTGCGCATGCGCAAAGAGAGACCAGGCAAGCTCGGCTGAATTCGGCTTGGCTCAGGTGCGGGGGGGGCGGGTGGTGGTGACATCATGGCACCACTTTGCAACTTTTTAAGAACAGCAACAGCCAAGAGCCAGAGTGGAGGACTGGAGGCGGGAGAGCCTCCCGCCGGGCATCTGTCCGTGTCACCAGGTAACTGGTGAGTGGTATTGAGATTTTAACTATATCATGTCTACAACCTGTAATCATCTCCTGTGCCATGCTCACAGCCTATAACCATCTCCTGTAGTATGTCTGCAGCCTCTAACCATCTCCTATACTGTGTCCACAGCCTCTAATCATTACCTGGTCTGCGTCAGCAGCCTCTAACCATCTCCTGTATCGTGTCCTCAGCCTCTAACCATCTCCTGTAATGTGTTTGCAGACTCTAACCATCTCCTGCATTGTGTCCACAGCCACTAACCATCTCCTGTAGTATGTCAGCAGTCTCTAACCATCTCTTGTATCATGTCCGCAGTCTCTGAGGGGGAGCCTGAAGAAAAGTCAAGAGTGGAAGCGCAGCTGAAACGGGGGTCACAGGAGGATTCAGATGTGTTACTGTGAGAGGAGAAGATGGGATGAAACCAGAGCTGCCAAGCTGGAGCCAGAGAGGACTGACTGAACCCCGCACGGTTCACCTAAGAGGAGGCCAGTGACAGTGCCGTCAAGTTAGTCTGAGGGTAGGGTCAATGATGTAAGGGGGGAATGAATGCAGTAAGGTAAGGGGAGGCACTGATATATAGGTTCCCCTTAAATCTATAACTCCCCCTTACCTTTCTGTATTCACTCTGCAGAAGGTGGTCTGTTGCAGCAGTTTTCACTATAACAGGTGGTGAGGGGCAACCCTCACATGGGGACACCTGTTCGACTGAAAACTGCTGCAAACCTCTTTAACAAATTGGTATTTTAACAGTGCATTAGAATTATTGCAGTGGCTGAACTGCCAGGGTCGCAAAGGTAGCACTTTTTTCATTATGGACATGAGTGTGACCTCATATCTACGTTTAGCTAAAGGCCTCATAAATCCTAGAGCTGGCTCTGTGGAAGAGGTTCTTGAGAAGTCCTGGAGGCAAGTATGGGAGGAGGTGACAAGGGAGCTAGAGAGCAAGATGTCTTGGGAGGAGTGGAGCGGACAGTTTGTTTGGATGATATCTGCAGATGATGTTGGTGATGTAGCTGTATTGAATTTTATATGTTGAACTAGTGGAAGCCAATGAACGGATTGGCAGGGAGGGGCAGCAGTCACTGATGGGTTGGTAATGTGTATAAGTCCAGCAGCAGCATTCATAATAGACTAAAGGGGGGGATAGCCTGTGTAAGGGTAGGCCAGTGAGGAGGGAGGTGCAGTAATCAAGGGGGATTATAACTAAGGTGTGGATAAATTATTTTGTGGTGTCGTTAGTCAGGAAGGGGCGAATTCTGGAAATGTGGCAGAGGTTGAGGCGGCAGGATTTAGCCAGTGATTGAATGTGGGGCCCGAAGGAGAGGTCAGAGTCTAGGAATACACCTAACATCCTGGCATGTGGGGAGGGACCAGTGGTTGTGCTGTTGTGCTTAATGGTAAAGTCATGAGTGGGGGATTGGTTAGGAGGAAATATTAGGAGCTCAGTTTTAGAAAGATTGAGTTTGAGGAAGTGGTGTGACATCCATATTGATATGTTGCTCAACAGATTTGTGATACGTGAGGAGATCAAGGGGATGATCTGGGGAGTAGAGAGATAGATATGGGTATCATCAATGTAGAGGTGGTAGTGGAACAATAGGTAGATTTTCAATTGGCCCGGGGAGGAGGTGTAGAGAGAGAAAAGAAGGGCCCCAAGGGTGGAGCCTTGGGGTACCCCAATAGAAAAATGCAGAGGAGCGGAAGAGTTGTATGTGATGATGAAAGTGTGCTGAGAAAGGTAAAAGGAGAACCATGAAAGAGCAGAGTCACAGAAGCCAAGGGAGAGGAGTTTACTGAGGAGGAGAGTGTGGTAGACTGTATTAAAGGCAGTGGAAAGGTCTAAGAGTATGAGTATTTAGTATGGCTTTAATGAGTATATGTTAAGTTTTAATTTCTTTCTCCTCCAAATGGTAAAAGAATCCCACATAAATATTCATGCACAGAACACCTGCAGTCTAGATTTTATATCCCAGCCTTTGCCTGTTATGCAATGATTTGGTTTTTTTTTCCCAGGCCAGCTGTGGACATTAAATGGTGTTATTCTTTCTGAACGTCAGTATGTTTGCTGAAACATTCCGGATATACTAATAAACGGTAATGGCCATGGTGCCTGGTACACCTTGATTTCAGCTCAGGCATAGAAAGCATGCCTTTTGCACTATGAACAAGAATAATGCTAAATGACAACCTTGACAAAAGGAATGACTATCACAGTTAGTGAAAGAACAAAGAACCAATGCAGGACTGTATATACAGTATATATATATATATATATATATATATATATTTATATGCCATTACAAATAGCGCAAGTATATAGCATGTAAAACAATAACAATTTAAATTTAAATCCAGGTAGGACCCTCTCTCTATGCTATTTAGACTCTTCTCTATACCAGGTAGGTACCTTCTCCCCAACTATTCTCCATCAGCGGGGAAATCTTTTCATCAAAAAGAGGGAGATGTGGAAAGAGATTCACAGAAAAAGCGGTTACATTATGAATAGAAAGCGGTACTCAAAAATTCCTCAAAAATTATGCTTTAATACAAAAATTGCATATATAGACATATATGTGTATACAGGTATGTGAATACCTCAGTTAGCCATCACCACAAGATGAGACAATACAACAAAGTATGGCCTAAAACCAATAGGTTAAAAACAGACGTCATGACCGGTCATAAATATAAAGTGCTGTAAATGTAATGACACTAGATCTAGTACTTAAGCAGCACTGACACACAGGTTACACAACCATGTAGGGGATGTGTTCAAAAAATTGTACCATAAGGCTAAACATCAGAAATGCAATGCTGCATATGACAAATATATTGGTA